GGGAACAGAAAAGCATTCAACCCTTCGCTTAAATCCGAGCACGTGATACTTCAAGACCTCAACAACGACCCAAGCTAAATTTGCCTGAAGTAAAAAAACAAAGACAGATAATTCCTAACACCTGTAACATGATAAAAAACAAAGGACGAAATAAACCATGAAGATACAAACAATACTCGATTCCATACCATATCACCTATGTACAGTATGTGCTTAAGCATACCGTATACACAAGCACACACACACACGCGCAGTTTACGATCCCAAGATAAAGCCAGCGAGGACACTACATCGGTCCAATGGTTAACACACCACACTGGACACCACCGCCACACCAGCACAGCATTCCCCACTGGACATCACACCAAAAACTCTCCCAGACCCATTGGACACCGCAGTTAAACAATTCCCTAATCTTACAGAACACCACTCCACAAAAAAAAATCTTCCCACCCCCACTGGACACCACACCAAAGCACTCTCCCGCGCCTACTGGACACCATAACATTCCCCCACGCTCACAGGACACCACACTTCCCCATGCCAGCCCACAACTCTCCCACGCCCACTGGACGCTACACTTAACCACTCCCCAACTCTTACGCCACTACCAGGACAACATTCCCCCGCGCCCCGCCATAAGACTCCAAGGGACACCACCAGCAGGCATCTCCCCATTGCTTGCCACCCCTTCCAACACCCTCCCCCTCTCTCTCTTTTTATCGAGAACAAATACATATATGTATGTATGTGTGCAGTCGGGATTAAGCGAAGGGTCAAAAACTGTGCGGGGATAGGAGAAGGAGAGGGAGAGGGAGAAAGAGGGAGGGAAAAGAATGGAAGGGGAGGGAAAGGAATGGAAGGGGAGGGGAGGGGAGGTGAGAGGGAGAGAGGGAGAGGGAGGGAGGGAGGGAGGGAGAGAGAGAGAGAGAGAGAGAGAGAGAGAGAGAGAGAGAGAGAGAGAGAGAGAGAGAGAGAGAGAGAGAGAGAGAGAGAGAGAGAGAGAGAGATGGATGGATGCACGGAGCCATAACACAGAAGACACACTATTGCATCAACAGACACATCATCACTAGCTCTCCTGGAAAAAGTGAATCCAAAATCACTTACGGAGAAGGGATGAAAAAGAGAGATGGGGAGAGCGAGAGCGAGAGAGAGAGAGAGAAAGAAGGAGAGAAATAGGGGAGAAGGGGAGGAAGAAAGTGGACAGAGGCAAACGGAACAACATGGCGGTGGAGGCGAAGCGCGCTTGTTCTCGCCCTCGTTTATGTTGCCTTGGAAAAGAAAAGAAAAGGGACGTGTAAAAGGACGAGGGAGAGGGGGAGAATCGAAGACGAAGGGAGGAAGGAAGAGAAGAGAGGAAAAATAAAAAAGACGAGAATGGTCTGAAGGAAAAGGGAGGGAGGACGTAAGAATGAGGGAAAGGGAGAGGGAAAGGGGGCGTGAGAGTGACTGAACGGGAAGGGAAAGGGAGAGAGAGGGTGAGAGAGAATGAAACGGACTGGACAGAGAGAGAGAGAGAGAGAGAGAGAGAGAGAGAGAGAGAGAGAGAGGTAGAGAGAAAGAGAAAGAGAAAGAGAGAGAGAGAGAGAGAGAGAGAGAAATAAGCCCCACTGGACAGAACAGCCAAGAAGAAAAGGAAGCAGAGGTGGAGGAGCAGGAGGAGGAGGAAGGCTAGGAGGGAGAAGAGGAGGAGGAGGAGGAGGAGGAGGAGGAGGAGGAGGAGGAGGAGGAGGACGAGGAGGTGGTGTTAGTGTTGGGATCAATACCGAGCTACTTCCCTAGTACACACACACTCACACTCGCACTCGCACTCTCACTCACACTAACACTGCCTAACACTTGTACACCACGCCAACACTGATCGCACTCTAGGGAAATAAAAAGGAAGAGGAGGAGGAAGAGAAAAGATTTGGGAGGAAAAGGCGCAAGAGGAAGAAGTGGTGGAGGAAGAGGAGGAGGAGAAAAAAATCCTCGGACGAGGCGGTGGAGAAAGGAGGAGGAGGAGGAGAAAGAACAGCCGACGGAGGAGGATGGTGGAGGAAGAGCGTGGAGGCGGAGGTGGAGGTACAGCCACTGTTGGGAAGAGCACGAAGGGAGGGAAGGGGAGGGAGGGGGAGGGCGGGAGGGAGGGAAGGAGAGCCACACACTTACAGACACACACACACACTCGGTAGATCGATTGACACGCTTGGGTGTGGCTTTGGAAGCCGAAGTTAGACACACACTTGCATACACACACCCTCAAACACGCACACGTGCCTTCGTGCACACAAAGACACACAACACAGGCAAACGCATACACAGGCACACGCACACACAAAGAGGGGGAGCGGGCGGAGCGAGCCGAGGCGCCTTTCCACACACATACGCACATACACAAGTACACAGCCGAGCCAGGGTGGGCGTGCGGACACTCCACTCTCGAGTTGGCCAAGGCTTTCTCTCCACGCCCACGAGACCGCAGTCCTCGGGGCTGCGACTTTACCTTGGCACGGGCGCGAGGCGTTTAGCGATCGCTGCGTGGGCGTCCTGCAGCGGGAGGGCTCCTGGAGGAGAGGGAGGCGAGAGGCAGAGTGCGGTCGTTGCGCCGTCCCAGGCGCCCGCACCGACACACACACGAGCGGCGCCTCCGTGCCTCTCGGGCACCAGGAGACACACAACTAAGGGACACCATCGCGGCGGGCGTGGCGGCAGCGGCGGCAGCGGTGGTGGCGGTGGCGGCGCGGCGGCGGCAAGAGCGAGGCGGTGGTGAGCGCGCGGGAGCCGGGCAGGGAGTGAGGGCTGCCGCCTGGCCCGAGGGTTACCTGGGTAATCCCGCTATCGACCGAGACCCCCCGCCCCCCGCTCGCCGGCCCCCCCCTCCTCCCCCCACGACCGGCCCTGCTGCCCTCGCTCCCGGGCGGTCGGTAGGGGGAGGGGGGACACCATCCCCAACACCTGCACGTCCACGACACACCTGGCGCCACGTGTCGCACGCGCGCTGGCACGCGCACAACACACACACACACATACACGCACACGCACCCACACACACAACGCACACACACACGCGCACGCACATCAACACACCTACAAACCCAGGGAGCTCCCATGCACGAGGAAGTCTCGCTACTCACACCTCTACTAAATGTTCTTCTCTTTGTAAGTTTGCGATTCTATGCCTGCGACTCCGTGGAGCGAGGGGGGGAGGCACAGGAAGGAAGGAAAGAGAGGATGAGGGGGAGGAGGCGAGATTACTCTAAATACAGGAAGGAAGGAAAAGGAGGATGGGGGGGGGGATTGCTCGAAATAAAGGTACGGACGTGTTCACTGACCGTCCTCTTTCTCTTTCTCTTTCTTTCTTTCTTTCTTTCTTTCTTTCTCTCTCTCCCAAATTTTCCTTCCAAGGTGCTAGCATTAATACCAAGAGAGGGGAAGGAAAGAGATCAGACAAAAACGAAGAGGAAAGAGAGAAAAGCAGAAGAAAAATACGAATTTACCGAACAAGAAATGTTGCATCTGATGTCTATTCACTTCTTACTAAATCATTTGTAAGCGGACACAAAGGCAGGCTGGAAAGGCAGTTAACATACAGACAGACAAAGACCAACGCATGACATCATACGAACTCACTTTCAAGCATATTGCATTCTTGGACAATGCAAACACACACTTCCAAGCATATACTGTTCAAGAAAACACACACACATACACACACACACACACACACACACACACACACACACACACACTCACACACACACGATCCCCCCCTCCCCCTCCCCCCCGCACACACGCGCTCCGTGACTATGACAACGGCAAGCCACGACGGTCGACCTCCATAAATAATGCCGAATATCAATTGTCGGAACTCGGTGGACCCAGACCTCCCCTTTCTCCCCCCCCCCTCCCCTCCTCCCTCTCCACCCCCACCCCCCACCCCCTTCTCACCCTAGCGTTACTAGGACGCAAACCCACAAACACTACCTGGCCCATGCCTACCCCCCCCCTACCACCGCCGTCGATACGATGTTTGAGGTCACTACACCCTCCCCCCCCTTACCTTTGTAGCACTCGTCGCCACGGACACGCAGACAGACAGACAGACACAACGGAAATTAGACAAAAAAAAAAAAAAAAAAAAAAAAAGACAGTTTCTATACATGCACACTTTCATACATGTATAAACACACATGCACACGCACACGCACACACACACATGCACACGCACACGCACACACACACACACACACAGAACCGCCCCCCCCCCCCCCTCTAAAAGAGTAGGCCTCTGATAACGAGTAAAATGAGTGAGCGAAAGAGGACTAACGGCAGCTGAATAATTAACGATAACCCAACACCAGCCTGAGTGAGTGATGAATAAACAATAAACAAACCGACAGCCTGATGAGTGAACAAAAACCGCGACCAGGGAGGATATCGTAATCACCGTGAATCAGTCCATGTTATAAAAGAAATGAATAAGTTCGACGTTCAACGCGTGAAAATGTGGGCGATGAATGCTTTATAAATATCTATGGAATGAGTGAAACAGAGTGACACCAAAATTAGAAAGGCAAATCTTAGCAATGGTATATATATTTATATGTATGTATATGTATGTAAGTATGTATGTATGTATATATGTATGTATGTATGTATGTATGTATGTATGTATGTATGTATGTGTATGTGTATATATATATATATATATATATATATATATATATATATATATATATATATATATATATATATATATATATAGTCTATACACATATATAGCACGCGCGCGCACGCGCGTGTGTGTGTGTGTGTTTGTGTGTGTGATACATTATATGTATGTATGTATGTATTTATATATGAATGTACGTATGCATATATGTAGGTACATTTATATGTATATGTCTACGTTGATGTATCTGCATGTGCATCTCCAGACATGAGCGGGCGAGAGCAGCCCCGGGCGGCGAACCCTGGCGGCGTCCCTGAGGAGCAGGATCCGCGCCCTCGTACTCACCTCCCTGAGTTCCTTGATCTTGGTGCCAGCCTTGCCGATGATGCATCCCGCCTGGCTCTGGTGCACGAGGATACGCGCGTCCGTCTCCGAGCCCTTCTGCAGCGCCTGCGAGGGGAGACAGCAAGGGGAACGTGTGGGCATTAAAGCTTGTCGAAATAACAGAGGTATAGGTGGCGGTTCTGGGCGATTTGTGGGGAGTGGGGCGGTGGTGGGAGGGAACCAGGGTAGGGGTAGGGGTTGAGGGGAGAGGGGGAAGGGAAAGCGGGAGATGGGAAGGAGAGGGGAGGGAAAGGGGGAGGGTGGGAGGAAGAGAGAAGGACAGGGGGAGGAAGTGGGAGAGGGAGCAGGAAGGGAAAAGGGAAGGGAAAGGGAAGGGAAAGGTAAGGGGGAAGGGAAGGGAAGGGAAGTTGAGAGGGGAGCGGGGAGGGAAGGGGGGGGGGAAGTCAGGTATTCTGTGGCCGCTCGAGGGCAAGCTCTACTAACCAAGTATGCAACACCTGATCGATCTTTTGATTGCTAGTGAGAGAGCACTCGACGCGCCTTTTTGTTGGAAACGAGTTGTTTAATATTTTCTTTTATTTCCTTTAAATAGGAATAATGGCAACAGAATGTTAAATAAACTGCATTATCCTTATTTTCGGAATTTCTTTCTAATACAAATACTACCTACATGCTACTAAATGAACTGCACAGGCATATAAGACCTATAACAAATTAATTCTCTTCTTAGTCATACACTGCTCTATTTCATCGTATTATACGTAATAAAAAAATGAAAATAAAAATAACACGAAGGAACACCCAAGATACGGCGTGCGTGTTCACACCTTCCTCGTGTACTGTTCAAGCTCCTAATCAATACATACATAAGCCACTACTCACTGAAATATTAACATGAATCGATCGACCTCCCCAATTATGTCAATTCAAATATATCAATATGGACCTAGCTATCACTGTCAGTATCTATTTATCCGTATGTGTGTTTATATATATATATATATATATATATATATATATATATATATATATATATATATATATATATATATACATATATGTATGTATGTATATGTATATATAAGTGTATATATATGTGTGTGTGTGTGTGTGTGTGTGTGTGTGTGTGTGTGTGTGTGTGTGTGTGTGTGTGTGTGTGTGTGTGTGTGTGTGTGTGTGTGTGTGTGTGTGTGTTTATTTATTCATTTACGAAAAAGACCTAGGCAAAACTGTTAGTGTGGGCGAGGTAGTAAGCGCCTTCTCGGCCGAAAGTCTCTGGTTTCGACCCGCCCTGTTTAACTACCTCGTCACGTTCTCCGCCTTTAGCACTGCCTAGCCGCGCCACCAGGTCCTCGTGCCTTTGTACTGTACGGGTAAACAGCCAACGCACTCGAGAATGTTCTTATAACTGAACATTACAAACTGGAGACTCGCTACGATGCCAAGAACACTGCGGCTTATAACTATACATAATAACATCATCAATAATAATAAAAATAATTAACAGTAAATGACGCTCCTATTACTACAACTAATCCAAACAACACAAGACTAGAACTAAAATACGAATAATAATACCCGATACTCTTATTACTACAACTCATCCCAACAGCACATTATGTATTATAACTCACCTCATCCAGGCACTCCAAGACTTCTCGCAGAACCTTCAGAACCACTTCCTCGGAACCGCCAATGGTCAGCACTCTGGAACACGACACAAGACTTCGCTTTAACACATGCAAAGCCACGGCGCGCACACTCACTTAACCTGCGTGACCCGAGAGATACCAGTGTCCCAGATTGCCCCCCTATCTGTCTGTCTGTCTGTCTTTCTGTCTCTTTCTCTCTCTCTCTCTCTCTCTCTCTCTCTCTCTCTTCCCCCCCCCCCCCTCTCTCTCTCTCTCTCTCTCTCTCTCTCTCTCTCTCTCTCTCTCTCTCTCTCTCTAATATCTGATTTTAACTCAGCCTCTCACTATCTCTGCCTTCTGTCTGTCTGTGTCTCTCCCTCTCCATTTACTCCACCTGATGCGTCTAAAGGCTCCCCTCACAAGAGGTCACCCCCCAGGCACTGCCAGGGTTAAACTACACTCATCCAAGCTTAGCTCTGACCTTTGACTGGGATCTCTACTCTCAATAGTTATCTATGGATTTCATTATCACAAGATCCAAAGAGGATTTTGAGCTATTTCTTGAAAATTCATTTTGATTAATACAATATATATACAAGCAGTTGATATATATATGTGTACATAAAAAAAAAACATATTCAAGCGAGGCTGAATAATACTGGTGAATATCAACTTACATAAACTATCAGAAAAAATAATGGTTAATGATGATAATAATAACAAGTCAGTTATAACTATAAGATTAAAAACAACAATAAAAACGAAAATCATAACAAAAATAATAATAATAATAATAATAAATAAATTTCACAGATCAGCAAAGAGAAGAAAAGAGAGCACATGGGAATTAAGAAGCAGCAGCAGAAA